GCAATGATGGGATTTATAAGCGGTTCTTAGAAGTAGCTCTAAGGAGAGATGTTTTCCTTTTCATTTAAAAAACTGGGCCAGGCACAGTGGCTCATGCCTGTAATCCCAGCACTTTGGGAGGCCGAGGCGGGCAGATCACCTGAGGTCAGGAGTCCGAGACCAGCCTGGCCAACATGGTGAAACCCCGTCTCTACTAAATGTAAAAAAAAATTATCCAGGCATGGTGGTGCATGCCTATAATCCCAGCTACTTGCGAGGTTGAGGCAGGAGAATCGCTTGAACCTTGGAGATGGAGGTTGCAGTGAGCAGAGACAGGTCACACCACTGCACTCCATCCTGGGTGACAGAGTGAGACTCTATCAAAACTGCTTGTCCTTTCATGTGCCAGCCTCACCAAACGCTCTTGATGTCACATGATTCACTGCAAGGTAGACTTAAGAGTGCCTTTAAGGCTGGCACAGTGGTTCATGCCTGTAATCCCAAATCCTAGCACTTTGGGAAGCCAAGGCAAGAGAATCACTTGACATCAGGTGGTCGAGACCAGCCTAGTCAACATAGTACAGCCCTGTCTCTACTAAAAATACAAAAATTTAGCCGAGTGTGGTGGTACATGCCTGTAATCCCAGCTACTTGCGAGACTGAGGCAAGAGGATCACTTGAATACACGATGTGGAGGTTGCAGTGAGCCTAGATTGCACCATTGCGCTCCAGCCTGGGTGACAGAGCAAGACTCTGTCTCAAAATAAAAGTGTGCCTTTAATTATCAAATGAAAGCAAATGTTTTTAACAATTAAGAACATACTTCACCAGGCTCCTTCCCGTTTGCTGATGGTAACCTCCAGGGATTCTCTCTCTGTTTCAGAGGGCCCCCCCAACAGGAAACTTCGCAGTGATGCACCAGGTATCATGCCTTCAGCTTCGCAGCTGTGTGTTGTCTCAGTATTCATTTCCTTTCTGCCCAGTGTGCCCCTCTGCCCACCCTGGTTTTTTAACCCTTGCACATTTTCATGAGATTCCTGCAAAATCTGAAGGCTTGGATATCTTAGTGCAAAGCTGTCTGTCATTGAAACCAAGATCAGGATGACAAATAGACCTCATATCTTGACCCACTGTCCTTCCTGCCTCTGGGCAGTGCATGTGATATGACACCCAACAGTGCATCCTTATCACTGCATCTTGACCAGATGTCAGAGGCTGTGTGTGTGTGGCTTGAATTTTTCTTCCTTTCATGCCAAAAGCCACTCTTACAGTATTAGGGCACTCAGCAGTACTGTTCTCCCTTGTCCAGTGAAGACACTCCACTGAGTGAATATGATGGTTCCACTATCTGGGCACATTCATGGAGAATGTACTTGGCTTCTAGTTATCTGGTCCAGATCACAAGTCAGAAACCAGAAAGCCCAGGTTCACGGTATCTGCGGCACAGCAACTGGTCCTCCCATGATTTGGCTTTCACAGGCTTGTCCGCGAAGAAAATGAGCTCACTGCAATGTCTGACAAATGCCGGGGGCTGCACGTGGCTTGAGTGATGTCTAGCTACAAACTGCATTTTCAGCACATGGGGTGGAAGCTAACCACCACAAAGCCAAGCACAGTCCTAGCAGAGCCTTTCCTGGAGGCTTCACTGGCACGTACATGTTTAAAGACTGGGGAATGGACACCCAAGACTCGAGGATGCACATAAGGCCCTTCCCAAGAGAGCACAGAGAGGCCTCCACTTCTGTGGGATTTGAATAACTTTTTTTGAGATGTTGTCTTGCTTTGTCACCCAGGCTTGAGTGCAGTGACATGATCTCGGCTCGCTTCAACCTCCGCCTCATGGGTTCAAGCGACTCTCCTACCTCAGCTTTCTGAGGAGCTGGGATTACAGGCGCCTGCCACCACTAATTTTTGTATTTTTAGTAGAGAAGGGGTTTCATCATGTCGGCTAGGCTGGTCTCAAACTCCTGACCTCAGGTGATCCTTGGCCCCCAAAATGCTGGGATTACAGGCGTGATGAATTACTTTTCATAGGTGAAGTAAGGCAATGTGGATCTGACTTTCACCCCATGGAGAGGCCAAACCAACCCTCATTTGTGTCCATCTTCATTTTTGGAGAATCTCAGCTTTGCCATCACTACCAAAACACTTAAAGCAGAGGGGTGAGGTCTTGGTAAGAGCTTCTGCATCAGTTTTGTGGGGAAGATAAGTCTCCAGTACACTTAGAGCAGTTTTCCTGCCAGCTCACTGGGATCACAAGATAAGCCAAATTCCAGGGTTGACTGAAGTACAGCACCCACTGGTCAGTGGGAAACTGAGTCCTTTCATAGTAGGTGCTTACACTCATGTTGATTCCTGACATCATTCCTGGTGCCTTGGTAGGTTGAGTCCGGGAATAGAATCCAAATGCTTGGCCAGGTGCAGTGGCTCAACCGTATAATCCCAGCACTTTGGGAGGCCAAGGCAGGCAGATCACTTAAGGTCAGGAGTTCAAGACTAGCCTGGACAACATGATGAAACCCAATCGCTCCTAAAAATACAAAAATTAGCCAGGTGTAGTGGCACATGTCTGTAGTCCCAGTTACTCAGGAGGAGGAAAGGACAATCACTTGAACCTGGGAGGCAGAGGCTGCATTGGGTCAAGATCGTGCCACTGCATTCCATCCTGGGCAACAGGCAAGACTCTGTCTCAAAAAAAAAAAAAAGAATCCAGATTCTCCAAGATCAGACCCTTTAAGAAAATCTTTAGAGGGGTCCTTACTTCCTGTAACAGGCATAGTTACTGTCAACATTGGTCTAGGAGTTGAAACCAGTTCTAAGAAAAGCACTGGACCCAGAATGGAGTGTCTTGCAGACTGACAGCCAAGCACGGAGATTCCAACGACTCAAAGCACAATGTATTTCTTAGGTCAAGGGAGCAAATTTGTCCATTAAGCTTTCCAGTTACCAGACTCTTCCAAGAGCCAAAAAGAAAGTGCTGGGAGCACCAATGCGTAGGTTAGGAACTAATTCCAGCTCCAGGTTAGCTCATCAGGTGGTGGGTTTTTTTTTTGGTTTTTTTTTTTTGAGATAGTCTGGCTCTGTCACCCAGGCCAGACTGCAGTGGTGCAATCTTCGCTCACTGCAGCCTCTGCCTCCCAGGTTCAAGCGATTCTCCTGCCTCCGCCTCCCAAGTAGGTGGGATTACAGGTGTAGACCACCATGCCTGGCTAATTTTGCATTTTTAATAAAGACGGAGTTTCACCATCTTGGCTAGGATGGTCTTAAACAATTGATCTGAATTGTGATCTGAACACCTCAGCCTCCCAAAAATGCTGGGATTATAGGCATGAGCCACTGCACCCAGCCATTCCATCAGCTTTTGAACCTGGAGTAAAAATGGCAAGGAAGAGAGCTGTGTGGGGAACATACAGGGAACAGTCAAAGTGCTGCTCCTCTGTCTGCTTCAATTTGGGGATCCTTCTGAGTCAAGTCCTTGGAAAACAGTGCTAAAAAAGAAAAAGACTTAAGGGTCACATCTAGAGAAAGAAGGACAGAGTTCTCTAGCAGGGCTGCAAGTCTAGAAGCTTCTCTCTGAAGCTGGCCTAGGAGAGTTTAGTTTGGAGTGGCTGCAACTTTAAGTATTTCTGATCGCTGCCCTGTGGGAAGCCCCATCCTTTACAGCCAGGTGGGTTTTCCCAGCCGGGGTCTCTCCCATCCTCTGTCAACAGAAGGCTCATGTCAGGGGGTTCCTCTCCTCCGCAATCATGAATTGCTGGGCCCTCCTTACGCCTTTAGTCTTACCCGTCTGAGTTGTTCCTTCTGACTCAAGAATCAGTCACTGGGTTGTGTTTATTCTTGTGGCTTCTAGTCCAGCCTTTGTATGGGAAGTGAAAGTCTGCTTTCTTTGTTGAGGTCCTAAAATAAATTAAGACCTGTCTTCCAATTCAGGTCAAACAGGGCCAGACGGTAAGAGCTCAACATGATTATCTGTTGCAATGGCTGAAGAGACTTAAGCGTTTCTTCCAAACAGTGAAGGTCAGCAGCAGGCAGATCTGATTTCTCCTTCTGCCCCCTTCCTCCCTCCTACCCAAAGTCGCCCCTCACGTGACCAGCCCTTCCCATGAAGCCAAGGTGCTGAACTCAGGAGAACCAGGGCAGAAAGGAGATATGAGTAGTAGGGACAGAAAGAGGGGGGGTTACTGGCTGGAGCTAAAATCCACCTCGCAGGCCTGGCGCACTGGCAAACACCTGTAATCCCAAAACTTCCAGAGGCTGAGGCGGGTCGATCGTTTGAGACCAGCAGTTTGAAACCAGCGCGGGTCACATGGCAAAATCCCATCTCTATTAAAAATTCAAAAATTATTCAGGCATGGTGATGTGCCTGTAGTCAGCTACTCAGGATGCTGAGGCACAAGGATTGCTAGAACCCAGGAGGCAGAGGTTGCAGTGAGTCAAGATCATGCCACTGCACTCCAGCCTGGGTGACAGAGGGAGACTCTTGTCTTAAAAAAAAATAAAATCCACCTTGGAAGCCACGTGTGGTAGCTGGCACCTGTAATGCCAGCACATTGGGAGGCCAAGATAGGAGCACTGTGTTAAGTTCAGGAGTTCACCACCAGCCTGGGCAATAACAGCAAGACCTCATCTCAATTTAAAAAAAAAAAAAAAAATAGGGCCAGGCACAGTGGCTCACGCCTGTAATCTCAGCACTTTGGGAGGCTGAGACCGGCAGATCACAAGGTCAGGAGATCGAGACCAACCTGGCCAACACAGTGAAACCCCATCTCTACTAAAGATACAAAAAAATCATCTGGGTGTGGTGGCGCACACCTGTAGTCCCAGCTACTCAAGAAGCTGAGGCAGAAGAATCACTTGAACTCAGGTGGCAGATGTTGCAGAGAGCTGGGATCATGCCACTGCACTCCAGCCCGGGCAACAGAGCGAGACTCAAAGAAAAAAAGAAAAAAAAATTCATAAAAAGTTTATCCCAATCGTGAAGATTTCTTTGCTAAAGAAATGTGTTTTCTTACAACCCACAGGCGAGGAAACGAGACCTCTTTCGTTCCTTCTAGAAGGTCTGGAGGACGTCGAGTCATTGAAAATGCAGATGGTTCTGAGGAGGAAATGGACACTCGAGATGCAGACTTCAACGGAACCAAGGCCAGTGAATAAGCAACTTTCTCGAGTTTTGCACCACAGCAAGGAAAATAAAACAAACACCCAGAACAAAACAAAGCCAGCTGACTGTATTTAGCGTTGTCTAAATCCATCCTCAAATTCCAAACATCACAGACACTCCTCACACAAGTATCATAAGAACCACCACCCTCCAGCCTGGGCAACATAGTGAAAACTCGTCTCCACAAAAATTTAAAAATAAGCTGGGCATGGTACTACACACCTGTGGTCCCAGCTACTAGGGAGGCCGAGTCAGGAGGATCACTGGAGCCCAGGAGTTTGAGGCTGCAGTGAACTATAATTGCATCACTGCACTCCAGCCTGGGCAACAGAGTGAGACCCCGTCTCCACCGCCACCACCGCTGCCGCCCCCACTACCCTGTATTCAAGATATAAATTGGATGTACGAGACGAGAAAAACCCAACAGGAAACACAGACACACCCTCCAGCTCTATCAATGGATTGTGCAGACATTGAGTTTTCAGAAAAACATAGCCACGGTAACCTGTCACTGGCAATTTTGTTTACATGACATGGGGAAAAAGTCACCAAAATGGTTGCCACGCCCCTCCCCATTCATTCCCTAACCTGTGAACCTTTCCAACTTCTCATGTCAGGCCCTTGCTTGAGAATTCTTTTCCCCTATCCTGGTTTCCACACCTCAGACACACACAGTTCACCAAGACCAAGTGCCTTCTGTAGTCACATGAATTGAAAAGGAGACGCTGCTCCCACAGCGGAGAGCAGGAATGCTGCACGGTTTACTACACACCCTGACTGTACTTACAAACACCTTCACTAATAAATGGTTATAAATCACTAGCATGTCACTGGCTTTTCTGTTGAGCTGTTTTCTAGACAGCAAAAGAAGTTGGAGACATCTGGGTTTTGCTTCATCGTCCCAGACTCTCTGAAGTCAGGGTTATTTCAATGGGAAAACTGAGGCCTAGGGAGGTGATATCAATTGCCTAAGATCCCACAGCCAGCAAAAGGCAAGGCAGAGATGCAAAGTGAGACTGTCTAAGGGGGTTATTGGGCTGCTGGGGGGTGAGGAGTAAGGTGATGTGAGGTCGGTCCTTGGGCCACTGCCCCTGCCCTTCAACATGACTAAGAGCATCCTTACTCATCAAAACCCGAATCACAAGAAAAATACAAGATTTCTTTGATTTTTTTTTTAAGCTAAAACACAAGGTCTTGCCCAATGAGTCAGCAAACACTTTCTCTAAAAAGTCAGATAGTGGCCGGGTACAGTGGCTCACACCTGTAATCCCTGCACTTTGGGAGGCTGAGATGGGAAGATCACTTGAGGCCAGGAGTTGGAGACCCAGCCTGGCCAATAGAGACCCCATCGCTACAAAAAAAAAAAAAAAAAAAAAGGTCTTAAGTAAGCCAGGCAGGACAGTGCACACCTGTACTCCCAACTACTTGGAAGGCTGAGGCAGGAGGATCATGTGAGCCCAGGAGTTCGAGGCTGCAGTGAGCTATGTAGCCTAGGTAATAGAATAAGACCGTGTCTCACAACAAAAACCCAGCCAGATAGTATTTTAAGCTTTTATAGGCTACATATAGTCAAATATTCATCATGTTTAAAACAACTCTTAAAAACATAATAAACCATTCTTAGAGTAAGGCCCATAAAAACAGGCTGTAGGCTGGGCACGGCGGGTCACGCCTATAATCCTAGCACTTTCAGAGGCCAGGGCAGGTGGACCATGAGGTGAGGAGTTCGAGACCAGCCTGGCCAACATGGTAAATGCCGTTTCTACTAAAAATACAAAACATAATTAGCCAGGCATGGTGGCATGTGCCTGTAATCCCAGCTACTTGGGAGGCTGAGACAGAAGAATTGCTTCAACCTGGGAGACAAAGGTTGCAGTGAGCCGAGATCACCATTGCACTCCAGGCTGGGAGACAGAGCAAGACTGTCTTGGTGGTGGGGCAGGGCATGGGGGGCAGGGGCGGAGATGGGGGTGGGATAGGCTGTACGCCCCATTCTTCTTTCAGCTTCAGTGTTTTAGACAGACATGCCTTACAAAGGCTCTGTTCAACACAAACAATGCCATATACCACCAAGTCCGTGGGATCAAACGATGCCATATACCACCAAATATGGGAATGAAGGACTCCACCCTATGACCAAATGCTAATATGCCTTGACTGATGCACAAACATATCCCAGATATATTTCTAAAAACCTGGCTTGAATGGAAATTTTTGGAAAAAAAAAAGTTTTTCACCAGCCTATGAGAAAACATGGAAGTACAAACATACAAAGTCTCTATTTGACCACTGGCCCAAACCAGTTCAACATTCGCTTCTCTTGATTTTATTGATCTTTTAAAAAAAATAAAAGGACATCTTTTCGAATACAGGTTAGGATGTTTCTAGGTTAAGAAACTCACCACCGCAGCTTCATTCTCTGGAATTTCAGTAGCACTTGCAAAGTTCCATTTTCAACCTCAAGATATTTTTGCTTTTCTTCTAGAAAATAACTTAGTAACAAAATGAAGGCCATGAAGCTGCAGGCACACAGAAACTGTGTTCTTTTAACTTGTGACCCACAGGGTGAGACAGCAGTTCCTAACAAGCAGTGGTGAGTGGACATGCTGTCGCGCGTTGGAAATCCTGTGTTCATGTCTTTGTTTGACAAGGAGGCCTCCAACAATGATCTCATGGTGTAATCTTACTTGAAGATCACCCTGGTTACTTCATTATGGCTTTGAATGAAGTCTTGTTCTCAGTGGCTGCATTAACAAGGCCACCCTACCCCAAAGACCCCTCAGGGTCCTGAGGCAGAATTCCCCCCACCCTGCCAGGGGACTCAGGAAAATGAATGACTGCAGTTTGCCAAAAGAGGACAGATTCTCCCCTGACCCTGGTTGACCTGAGAAATTACTCCAAAAACATACCTCTAGAAAACTCAATAAGAAGCAGGCTACAGTCTCAGATGTAGTGTGCGTGCATGTGTGTGTGTGTGTGCACGTGTGTGTGTTTTGATACTTGCTCTCTCAACCCAGGCTGGAGTGCAGTGGTGCAATCCCAGCTCATCGCAACCTCCACCTTCTAGGTACAAGCGATTTTCCTGCCTCAGCCTCCTGAGTAGCTGTGATTACAGGTATGCACTACCACACCCGGCTACTTTTTTCTATTTTCAGTAGAGATGGGGTTTCACCATGCTGGCCATGCTGGTCTTGAACTCCTGCCCTCAGGTGATCCACCCGCCTTGGCCTCCCAAAGTGCTAGGATTATAAGCGTGAGTCAGCATGCCCTGCCTATTCCAGTTTTTAAAAAGGCATGTGACGGTTCTGTTCTCTGTTCCCAGACATGATTTCAGTACACCACAAAGCACTGGGAGATTTCGTTCTGGAAGACAATTCCAGCTGGTTGGGGGCAGGGGGAAGAGCCTCTAAGAGGGACTCCATCCCACATTTAAGGAGACTCAGGACATTAAAAACACCTATCAAGACCAATTGGAGGCCAGGCCTGGTGGCTCACACCTGTAATCCCAGCACTCTGGGAAGCCAAGGCGTGAGGTTCACTTGAGACTAGGAGATCAAGACCAGCCTGGCAAGCATGGTGAAACCGTTTCTCACTAAAAACATAAAAATTGCCACGTGTGATGGCACACTCCTGTAGTCCAGCTACATGGGAGGCTTAGATAGAAGAATCACTTGAACCTGGGAGGTGGAGGCTGCAGTGAACTGAGATCACGCCACTGCACTCCAGCCGGGGCAACAGAGCGAGACTCTATTTCAAAACACAAAAACAAACAAAAACAGGGTACCCGCATCACCGACACCCTAGGGCTCTTCCCAGAGAGCCCTGTTTGTCCCTCTTTGCAGTGCACACAGCGGCAGGCAGGGATGAGTAGACATTTCCCAGGGGCAAACCCCAGATCACAGGTGACGGTCTGTCATTGGATTGGGCTACAAAGTGAACTATGGTGAGTGCTGGTTCTTATTTCTCTAACTTACAAGAAAACAAAAACCTAGTGTAAAAAGACGACGAACAGTAACGACTCCTGCACCGACACCAAGAGCTTCAGCTTCCGTGGTTTTCCTAAAGCAACATCTTGACTACCCCCTGGGCTGATGGCAGCGGCGGCGAAGACATGTGTGAAGGCGGCTTCCCAAATTCCAGGCGCTTCCCCAACCTTCAGACAGAGCAAACCAAATTAAGCTGACATGACAGCTGTGAGAAACTGGCTAGCACCAGGGCCCACAGAGGTATAGGGGTGAACATCAAGAGTCAGGAGCAGGGTCTCACAGGGTCTCAATTTTCTCTCCTGTGAAATGAAGAAGAGGACACTGGCTACCTGGCTTTCAAATTCCAAGGTCACACAAATGCCCAGTCTCAGAACCTCTAGAAAGACCCATCTCTTACCTATTAAATTGACTTTGGTTGTTTTTATAGCCTGGGAAACATAGACCCTGCCTCTACAAAAAAAATTAGCTAGGTGTGGTGGCCTATATGTGCAGTCCCAGCTACTTGGGAGGCTGAGGTAGGAGGATCACTTGAGCCTGGGAGGCAGAGGCTGCAGTGAGCCAAGATCATGCCACCGAGCTCCAGCAAAAAAAAAAAAAAAAGGCAAGGCATGATGGCTTAAGTTTGTAAGCACTTGGGAGGCCAAGGCAGGAGGGTTGCCTGGAAAACTACTCTGAAAAGTCAAACACACCTCTAGAAATCTCAGTGAGCAGCAGACTATAGTCTCAGAGGTGTATTCTCAAACTCAAAGCCAAGAGTTTGAGACCAGCCTGGGCAACATAGCAAGACTGTTTATATAAAAAATTAAAAAAAATTAGCCAGCGGTGGTGGCATGTGCCTGGAGTCCCAGCTAGTTAGGAGGATGAGGCAGGAGGATGCCTTGAGCCCAGGAAGGTGAGGCTGCAGTGACCTATGGCCGCACCACTGCACTCCAGCCTGGGTGGCAGAGCAAAACCCTGTCTTATAGAAAGAAGAAAAACAAAAACATTTTTTTAAAAATGTGTAATCCTTCTTAAGAGTCTCACTGTGTTGCCCAGGCTGGAGTGCAGTCAGTGGTGCAACCTCAGCTCACTCCAACCTGTAATTAAAAAAAAAACTCATGGCTGTGGGTTGGGGGCTACTGTCTCTGGCCTGGGGCAGGTTGGTTCTCCCCACCAGCGAGAGGCTTATTAAAAGGTACTGACCCTTTATCACCCAAAGGCACGCTGGTGCTGCCTGGCCATCTGTCGCTGCCATCTCTGTTCTTGCTGCTCCGCCCAGAGGCTGGGCCACCTGTTCGGTTTGGGGACTGATCATACACGAGGTTCCGGCAGGAAGCGAGTTTGGACTCCAATGCCTGGAAAAAAATACACTTTTTATCTCTCAAGTTATAGGCAAGGACTATTCTGTCTCACCAGAGCCCATACAGAGGAAAGAACCCCAGACAGTGGTTCTCAAACTATTGTGCACTGGAATTCCAAGGTGGGACCCCAAGAGGAACCCAATGTATATGCCAGTCTCAGAACCAAGCATCTTAGGTATTTAGGAGCTGGCTAGGCACAATGGCTCACAACTGTAATCCCAGCACTTTGGGAGGCCAAGGCAGAAGGCTTAACATCAGGAGTTTGAGACCAGCCTGGGCAACAACGTAAGATCCCATCTTTTTTTTTTTTCTTTTTAACTTTTTTAGATAGGTCTTGCTGTGTCACCCAGGCTGGAGTGCACTGGTGAGATCACAGCTCACTGCAGCCTCAACCTCCCAGGCTCAAGCAATGCTCCCACCTCAGCCTTCTGAGTAGCTGGGATTATAGGCATCTGCAATCATGCCAATCTAATAAAAAAAATTTTTTTAATGAAAAAAATTGTTTAAATTACAAAGCATTTTTACAAATGTTTGGGAGCTTCCTGGAAAGAGATCATGGCCCACTGCAGCCTCGACCTCCCACGCTCAAGCAATCCTCCCACCTCAGCCTCCTGGGTAGCTGGGACTATAGGCATGCACAATCACTCCTGGCCAAAAAAAAAAAATAAATAAATAAATAATAATAAAAGTTTTGGCCGGGCACGGCAGGCTCAAGCCTGTAATCCCAGCACTTTGGGAGGCCATGGCGGGCAGATTACGAGGTCAAAAGATCGAGACCATCCTGGCCAACATGGTGAAACCCTGTCTCTACTAAAAATACAAAAATCAGCTGGGCGTGGTGGCGTGTGCCTGCAGTCCTAGCTACTTGGGAGGCTGAGGCAGGAGAATGGCTTGAACCCAGGAGGGAGAGGTTGCAGTGAGCCAATATTGTGCCACTGCACTCCAGCCTGGCACCTGGCAACAGAGTGAGACTCTATCTCTCAAAAAAAAAAAAGAAAAAAAAATTTTTAATTACAAATAATTTTTAAACAGATGAGGGCTTTCTGAAAAAAATCACTAAGCTACTAATTATCCAACTCTGCCCATAGGAAATGTGAAATCCACTTCTGGAATCCTTCCCTCTTTGGTTTACCTTATTAAACCTCTGCAGAATGGCAGGACTTAGTCTGGCTGCAACAGATCCCGAGGAAACCAAAAGGATGCTGTTAGCACCCCCAGGCTTCTCTGTACTCCAACCTGGCTAACTATTAATACATGGGCCTGTTTACGGAAAAGCAAGCCAGACGACAGCCAGAGTAGAAACATGAAAGAAATGAGATGCGAGCTTCTATTAAGTTGTATGAATACACAGCGCACAGTGACAAACTGGTAGTAGTTAAATTATGTGGCCTTCCGGGCATCGTTTTTAAAAATAAAATAAACAGCTACAAAAAATACCTATGTTGTTGCTTAAGCACAAAAGGATCTCTCCCTGTAATTAACAGAAAAGCTGAAAGGCCAAGTTCTTTGCCCTAGGCTTTCAAGATTTTTTTTTTTTTTTTTAGACCAAGTCTCTGTTGTCCAGGCTGGAGGGCAGTAGCACAATCTCGGCTCACTGCAGCCTCGACCTCCCAGGCTCAAGCAATCCTCCCACCTTCTCAGCCTCCTGAATAGCTGGGACTAGCAGTGTGCACTACCATGCCTGGCTAATTTCTGCATTTTTGTAGAGGCAAGTCAGGGCAGGCAGTTTCACCATGTTGCCCAGGTTAGTGTCAAACTCCTGGGCTCAAGTGATCCTCCCACCTTGGCCTCCCCCAAAGTACTGGGATTATAGGCATAAGCCACTGTACTTGGCCAAAAGACAGTTTCTAAATGCTCCTCAGTTTTTTCAAATTTAGGAAAAATGGGACATCACCCTATTTCCCAAATTGCCTAGAAGAAAAATGGTACAAGGAAAGAGATATACATATGGTTCGGAGGCTAAGCTTACAGTCAGAGCTCTGAGTGTCTGGCAGTAACTCCCACAGGAAGCTCTAATGACTCCCAGGGACGCTAAAGGAGTGGTCACACCTAAAACTTACCACACTGCTATGAAAGGGGCCAGGTGCACTGGCTCACACCTATAATCCCAGAACTTTGGGAGGCCAGCGTGGGAGGATTACATGACACCAGGAGTTTAAGACCAGCCTGGGCAACACTGCAATACCCCATTACTACAAAAAATGAAAGTCTCAGCCAGCCATGGTGGTGCGTACCTGTGGTCTAAGCTCCTTGGGAGGCTAAGGTGGGAGGATCGCTTGAGCCCAGGAGTTCGAGGCTACAGTGAGTCATACCACTACACTTGAGCCTGGGCAACAGAACAAGACTCCTGTTTCTTAGAAAAACAAAAAGAGAGAAGAGGAAAGGAACAAGAGTAAGATCCACCCCTTCATATATCCTGAAGGTCAGGGAGGAAGGCACCAAAGGCCAGGAAAGTGTGGTCTTACCCCAACTTTCCGCAGTAGATCTCCCACAATGTTGAGGGCTGAGATCCGGGCCGCAGGCGTGAGGGGCGTCCCCCCTGTGGAGTCGTCCAGGCCTGGGTGTGCAAAAGAATGTGCATATAACACATCAAGCTACAAGCATGTCTATGCACTAACAGCTAGAGATCCAAAACCACGTGGATGGGAGCGACACGGATGGCTTCCCATGGATCCTAGAAGCTACCCTATTTCTTTGAGTAGTTAACTGCATCACACGCCTAAGGTCTATATGACAACCAATTTTTCAGGTCCTTGTGATGATGACTACATCAAATGTTTGTTTTTACATGTTAGTCTTTTTTTTTTTTTGAGTCACACTCTTGCTCTGTCACCCAGGCTGGAGTGCAGTGACACAATCTCAGCTCACTGCAACCTCCGCCTTCTGGGTTCAAGCAATTCTCCTAACTCATGGGCCACCACACCCAGCTAATTTTTGTATTTTTAGTAGAGACGGGGTTTCACCATGTCGTCCAGGCTGGTCTTGAACTACTGACCTCAAGTGATCCGCCAGCCTCAGCCTCCCAAAGTGCTGGGATTACCGGCATGAGCCACCATGCCTGGCCTTTTAAAAGAATTTTTAATAGAGACGGGATCAGCTACTCGGGAGGCTGAGGCAGAAGAATCGCTTGAACCCAGGCGGAGGTTGTAGTGAGCCAAGATTGCGCCACTGCACTCCAGCCTGGCGACAGAGTAAGACTCCATCTCAAAAAAAAAAAAAAAAAAAAAAAAAAGAGACGGGATCTCACTATGCTGCCAAGCTGATCATCCTGAACTCTGGTCTCAAGCAATCCTCCCACCTCGGCTGCCCAAAGAGCTAGGATCACAGGCAGGAGTCACCGTGCCCAGCCATGTCTGTCTTTTTAAAGAAATCCTTTTAAAATTGTAGGCAATCCATACAGTTAATTAACATAATGGCATCTGTGATAGATAAAAGAACTACAGACAGGGCAATCCAGCTTTACAAGGGTCCTGCAGAGCCTTTCTTCTCCAAGTGGGGTCCATGTACCAGCAGCACCTAAAAACTGTCAAAACTGCACAATCTCTTGGCTGGGCGTGGTGGCTCACACCCATAATCCCAGCACTTTGGGAGACCAAGGTGGGTGGATCACCTGAGGTCAGGAGTTCAAGACCAGCCTGGTCAACATGGCAAAACCTCGTCTCTACTAAAAATACAAAATTAGCTGGGTATGGTAACAGGTGCCTGTAATCCCACCTACACAGAAGGCTGAGGCATGAGAATATCCTGAATCCAGGAGGCAGAGGCTGCAGTGAGTGAGGTCATGCCACCACACTCAAGCCTGGGCGACACAGGAGGACTCTGTCTCAAAAAAAAAAAAAAAAAAAAAAAAAAAAAAAGCAGAATTTCAGGCCCGACCCAAGACCACCTGGATCCGAGGTACATTCTACCAAGGTCTCCAGGTGAGTTACATGCATATTAAAGTGTGGAAAAATAGTCGGGCATGGAGTTGCATGCTTCTAGTCCCAGCTACTCAGAAGGCTGAGACAGGAGGATCACTGGAACCCAGGAGCTGGAGGCTGGAGCGAGCTATGATTGTACCACTGCACTCCAGCCTGGGCCACAGAACAAAACTGTCTCTCTAAAAAAACTGAAATAAAGTATGCAAACTGACTCTAGACTGGGGTCAGGCGGAGCAGCTCATGCCTGTAATCCCAGCACTTTCAGAGGCTGAGGCAAGTGGATTATCTCAAGTCAGGAGTTTGAGACCAGCATGGCCAATATGGTGACACCAGGTCTTTACTAAAAATACAAAATTAGCCAGCCGTAGTGGTAAACGCCTGTAATCCAAGCTTACTTGGGATGCTGAGGCAGGAGCATCAACCTGAACCTGGGAGGTGGTGGCTGAACCAAGATTGCGCCATTGCACTCCAGCCTGGGCCACAGAGTGAAACTCCAGCTCAACAAAACAAAAGGGCTCTGCACTGGGATTCTAGAAGTCTCACTGGTCTCTTCACCACCAAGGGATGAGCTAAGGGATAAGGCAGTAGATGGCAGGGTAAGCCTGCCTGCCTGGGTCTGAATCCCCATCCATCTGCCATTCACTTGCTTCAACTCTGCTTAACTCAGGGCCTCGCTTCCATCAAATAGGGACAGCACTTGTATCCTGGGCCTGTGGTGAAGGTTGCAGGGTGGCTGGTGCATACTGAGCACCTCATAAGTGTCAGTTATTAATATCTGCTATAAAAGGCCTGATCAGAAGCTGTCAGAGGCGCTGGGGTGAGAACTCAGATTTCTTGTTTTTTCTCCACAGCACAGGTTACACCGAGTCTAGCTTTCGGTGGATGTTTTACCAGACCCACAGAATGCTTTTCACTTTTTCATATTTGGTCACTGACATTTCAAATTTGGAAGCTTTCATTTTCAAAAAGAGGATTTTGGGCCAGATGTGGTGGCTCATGCCTGTAATCTCAGCGCTTTGGGATCAGCTGAGGCGGGAGGATTGTTTGAGTCCAGGAATATGATACTAGCCTGGGTGATATAGCAAGACCCCGTCTCCACCAAAAATACAAAAGTTAGCCAGGTGTGTTGGGAGCACCTTTAGTCCCAGCTACTCCAGAGGATGGATGAGGTGGGAGAATCACTTAAGCCCATGAGGATGAGGTTGCAGTGAGCCAAGATCCAGTCACTGCACTCCAGCCTGGGCAAGAGAGTAACATCCTGTTTCAAAAAAACAAAACAAAAACCCAACAAAAAAGAGGATTTCTGGCTTTGATAAAGAATGGAAAATGCTGCAGATGAAGGACCATTCCTTGTAGCTGCAGAGGGGCAGCTACTCCCTCTGGGTGGGGTTTTCATCTCCCACCTCACCACAGACTCCACCACTCCCTAATGCCTCCCACCCAGACACTCCTCATTGATCCCAATGTCCATCCCAAGGAACATCCCAGTCTACTGTCTGCTCAAAGCCTGAGAGCAAATCAGGCTCTGAGTCTGGTGCAAATCATCACACCCCCAGGACCCACCCCAGATTCTTACCCAGGAACACTTTGTGAAACCAAGAAAATCCTCCAATTCCCACTCCCCTTACCACGTCTGAAGCTCCCGGGTGTGTTTAAACTCGAGCTGGGTCCTCGATGGGTGATAGGCGTGGACGGCAAGGAGCCTGTGGCCTGCACAGCTATGTCTGTCCTCTCAGCTTCCACTGAGCTGGGCATGGGGGTCCTGGGTTTCTCCTGCTTCTGCTGCACGGCCAGTTCCTGCCTCAAATCTGTGCCAGGAAAAGGATTCAGGAATTCAAGTCCTCAGCAGGTGCTGTGGCTCATGCCTGTAATGCCAGCACTTTGGGAGGCCAAGTCAGGGGGATCACTTTAGGTCAAGAGCTTGACACCAATCTGGCCAGCATGACGAAACCCCATCTTTACTGAAAATACTAAAATTAGCCAAGCGTAGTGGCATGCTCCTGTAATCCCAGCTATTCAAGAGAATGAGGCATGAGAGTCACTTGAACCCCAGAGGCGAGGGTTGCAGTGAGCCGAGATTGTGACACTGCACTCCAGCCTGGGCAAGAGAGTGAGACTTCGTCTCAAAAACAAAAAGAGAATTGAAGTCCTTGGCTTTGGGTTGGCGGGGTGCAGGAGGAGACGTTCAACAGTAGATACTGGTCAGGACATAGCTCTACTGGGATAAAAAACTCCAGTTGGAAACCCCAAATAAAGGGAAACCCATAGACTTGCAACTCCACAGGATTTTTCTTTTAAGTAAAAAACAAACTGGTTTTAGATTTCTAAAAAACTATGGCAGTGACACACTAATGCTTTTATTATTCAAAAAACAATTCCAACATAGCAGTGTATCTAGAATACTAAATGAAAGTATGCTCAGACGCAGTGGCTCACACCTGTAATCCCAGCACCTTGGGAGGCCAAGGTGGGAGGATCGTATCAATCCAGGAGGTCGAGGCTGCAGTGAGCCATGATCATGCCACTTCAGCCTGGGTGACAGAGTGAGACCCTGGCAAAAAAAAAAAAAAAAGGTGGGGCACAGTGGCTCACACCTATAATTCCAGCACTCTGGGAGACCCAGGTGGGAGGATCACTTGAGGTCAGGAGTTCAAGGTCAACATGGCAAAACCCTGTCTCTATTAATAATACAAAACATAAGCTGTGCATGGTGGCATGCGCCTGTAGTCCCAGCTGCTTGGGAGGCTGAGGCAGGAGAAACACTTGAACCTGGTGGACCAAGGTTGCAGTGAGCTGAAATCACGCCACTGCACTCCAGCCTGAATGCAGAGTGACACTCTGTTTCGAAAATAAGTAAAGTATGCTTTCCAGACTATTGCCAAATGCTCCTCCTTTTGAGATGGAGTTTCACTCTGTTGCCCAAGTGGGAATGCAATGGCACAGTCTCAGCTAATGGCAACCTCCAACTCCTGGATTCAAGCAATTCTCCTGCCTCAGTCTCCCAAGTAGCTGAAATTACAGCACATGCCACCATGCCCGGCTAATTTTTTTTTTTTAATAGAGACCATATTTCACTATGTCAGTTAGGCTGGTCTCGAACTCCTGACCTCAGGTGATCCACCCACCTCAGCCTCTCGAAGTGCTGGGATTACAGGTGTGACCCACTATGCCCAGCTCTCTGCATTTTCAAACGTTTACTTTATAGATATGTGTATCTCTACTGAGCATAAAATAGGAAGGATTTTTATTAAGCATTAATGGAAACATACCATACGTCCCGTGTATGACTTGCTCTCCTCACGTTAGTGGTGTCTTGGCAAAATTTTTTGTTTGTTTTACAGACAGGGTCTGACTTAATCACCCAGGCTAGGGTGCTTTGGCACAATCATAGCTGAATGTAATCACCAACTCCTAGGCTCAAGTCATCCTCCCACTTCAGCCTACTGAGTAGCTGGGACTACAAGCATACGCCACAAGGCCTGCTAATTTTTTTACTTTTTATTTTTGTAGAGATGGGGTCTTGCTATGTTGTCCAGGCTAATCTTGAACTCCTAGGCTCAAGCAATCCTCTTGCCTCACTCTCTCAAAATGCTGAGATTACAGACATAAGCCACTGTGCCTAGCCTTGGCAATCTTTCTACCACAACATTTCTATCTATACCTTGTTCATTCTAACAAACATTTCACAAAATAAATCTATGCACTCACTTAACCACTTCATTACTGATGGGCATCTAGGAAAAACTGCTTTTTTAAACTTAGGAACTTTTTTTTTTTTTTTGAGACAGAGTTTCGCTCTTGCTACCCAGGCTGGAGTGCAGTGGCGCGATCTTGGCTCACCGTAACCTCCGCCTCCTGGGTTCAGGCACTTCTCCTGCCTCAGCCTCCTGTGTAGCTGGGATTACAGGCACGCGCCACCATGCCCAGCTAATTTTTTGTATTTTTAGTAGAGACAGGGTTTCACCATGTTGACCAGGATGGTCTCAATCTCTTGACCTTGTGATCCACCCGCCTCAGCCTCCCAAAGTGCTGGGATTACAGGCATGAAGAATTTTTATTTTTAATCCCCCACCTACTGCTTCCACATTAGAAAGCAAATTAATGTTATAAACAATTGGGCCAGGAATGGTGACTCACACCTATAATCCCAGCACTTTGGGAGGCCGAGGTGGGCAGATCACCTGAGGTCAGGAGTTCAAAACCAGCCAGGTCAACATGGTGAAACCCCGTCTCTATACTAAAAATACAAAACTTAGCCAGGCATGGTGGCGCACACTTACAGTCCCAGCTACTTGGGAGGCTGAGGCAGGAGAATCACTTGAACCTGGGAGGCAGAGGTTGCAATGAGCTGAGTTAGCGCCACTGCACACCAGTCTGGGCAACAGAGCAAGATTCCATTTCAAAAAATAATAATTGGAACTTTAAAAACAAACTTGGACAGTCCACTAACAATGTCCTTTTTTTTTTTTTTTTTTGGAGACAGAGTTACTCTATCACCTAAGCTGGAGTACAGTGGTGTGATTTTGGCTCAGTGTAATCTCCATCCGCTAGGTTCAAGTTGATTCTCATGCCTCAGCCTCCTGAGCAGCTGGGATTGCAGGCACCAACCACCATGCCTGGCTAATGTTTTCTTTATTCAGTAGATATGGGGTTTCTCTATGTTGTCCAGACTGGTCTTGAACTCCTGAGCTCAGGTGATCTGCCTGCCTCGGCCTCCCACTGGGATTACAGGTGTGAACCACTGTGCCTGGCCAAACGTCTCATCACAGTTTGAACGTTCTACCTCTGTAAGTGCCAACCAACAATGCTGACGAAGTTTCAAAGTTCTAAGCCAAATGTATCAGTTGCCATCAACTTAAAACAATAGACTAGCTGGCAGCTCCACCAGAAATTTCTCCTTAAAAAAAGGAAAACTTCTTTTCCTTTTTTTAAGAGACAGAGTATCATTCTGTCACCCAGGCTGGAGTGCAGTGGTGCAATCATAGCTCGTTGCAGACTCCATCTCCTGGGCTCAAGGGATCACCCCACCTTGGCCTCCTGAGCAACTGGGACTACAGTAGGCACATACCCCCACGCCCAACTCATTTTTCTTTTTCTTCTAGAGATGGAGTCCCACTATGTTGTCCAGGTTGGTCTCGAACTCCTGGGCTCATGAGATCCCCAGCCTCCCAAAGTGGTGGGATTATAGGTGTGAGTCACTGTGCCAGGCTCTCTCCACTAAACTTATGTTCCTACTGAGCATCAGGCTGGTTTGCTGTGTGTGTGAATTACAGATCAGGAAGCATCTTTCTGGAAATGATTCTGCTGCCCAGAGGCAGAACCCCAATACAAGGGCTTAATCTGTGAACCCCAAAGCTATTTCTCTAAATACCCAAAAGGGGTCCTTATAGGGTTTGATGTGTGACTGTTTTCAGCTCCAGCCAGGGCCCAAGGCAAGTCTGCCTGGTGCAGTCCCCCACCCTCTGACTAGACAGCCTGGGTGCAGAGCAGGGTGCAGGGTCCCTGTAAAGGTAACACTGGGAGAGGACGTGGGACAAGATGTTGCTCAGGTAGGGAGAGGGGACCATGCTGGGAAAGACACCAAGGCCTCCTGACCTCTGGCTTCGTCTTTCAGTCTCTGAACAGACTCTAGGAGATTCTCTTTCTCATCAAGTTCACTTTCCAGGAAGGCATTTCTTTCGATGGCCTGATTTAAGCGCTGCTCAAAGTCTTCGAGAGACATGATTGTGGCTCTGCAGAAGAGAAAAGCAGAATTATCCAAGAGGACAAACTGCGGCATCCACCCAGTGCCGTGGATCCAGGAGGTATGAAAGGTCAGATATACCTGGGCAAAAGTCCCAGCACCAAACTTCCTAGATGCCACAGAGCAGGGCGAGTCCCCTAACCTCCTGGGGCATGGGCTCTTCGCCTGCAGAAAAGGACTCATCGTAGTACATGGGCGCACAGGCTGTTGTGAGGATTAAATAAGACGCTGCTTCACACGGCACTCAATACGCCAAAGCCAGATCAGGACTGCATGTGCCATTTGGTGGTTTGAGAAGAGCAGTAGGCTCTATCTTCTCTTGCAGGCTCACAATGCCAACTGATATTAAAAATAACCTAATAGGCGGGGTGCAGTGGCTCATGCCTGTAATCCCAGCACTTTGGGAGGCCGAGGTGGGTGGATCACCTGAGGGCAGGAGTTTGAGACCAGCCTGGCCAACATGGTGAAAGCCTGTGTCTACCAAAAATACAAAATTAGCTGGGGGTGATGGTGCACACCTGTAATCCCAGCTACTCTCAAAGCTGAGACAGGAGAATCGCTTGACCCTGGGAGGTGGAGGTTGCAGTGAGCCAAGATCGTGCCACTGCACTCCAGTCTGGAGACAGAGTAAGACTCAGTCTCAAAAAAAAAAAGAAACCAAAAAAAAGAAAAACTAATAATGACCAGGCGTGGTGGCTCATTCCTGTAATCCCAGCACTTTGAGAGGCCGTGGCAGGTGGATCACCAGAGGTCAGGAGTTTGAGACCCACCTGGCCAGCATGACCAACAGGGCAAAACCCTGTCTCTACTAAAAATATAAAAATTAGCCAGTTGCAGTGTAATCTCAGCTACCTGGAAGGCTGAGGTGGAAGAACTGCTTGAACCCAGGGGGTGGAGGTTGTAGTGAGCTGGAAAAAATCCTGCCACTGCACTATAGCCTCGGTGACAAAATAAGACTCCATCTCAAAAAAAAAAGTAATAAAAAACACAATTAACATGATTGTGGTTTTTTTTTTTTTTTTTTCTTTAAGAAACAGGGTTTTGCTCTGCCTCTCAGGCTGAAGTGCAGTGACACAATCACAGCTCACTGCAACCTCAAACTCTTGGACTCAAGCAATCCTCCCGCCTTGGCCTCCTGAGTTACTGGGATCCCAGGCATGACCCACTGTGCCTGGCATAACATGCATTTAAGAAGACACACACACACACACACACACACACACACTCTCTCTCTCTCTCTCTCTCTCTCTCTCTCTCTCTCTCTCTCTCTCTCTCTCTCACTTTTTCAGATGGAGTTGCCCTCTTGTTGCCCAGGCTGGAGTACAATGGCATGATCTTGGCTCACTGCAACCTCTGCCTCCTGGGTTCTCCAGCCTTGGCCTCCCGAGCAGCTGGGATTACAGGCATGCACCACCACACCTGGCTAATTTTGTATTTTTAGTAGAGATGGGGTTTCCTCCATGTTAGTCAGGCTGGTCTTCAACTCCCGACCTCAGATGATCCACCCACCTCAGCTTCCCAAAGTGCTAGGAATAGGCATGAGCCACTGCGCGTGGCCAAAGAGATCATTTTTAACCTCTCAGTGGAAGTTCAAAATGCCCAGTACCAGCCCAGCTGCCCTGTTCAATCATGACCCCTTCTTGTGAACGGCATAGACACTGTGGTAAAAGCACTGTGAAGTGCTGTAACAAAGCAATCTATTTTAACTCTCGAGAAACTACCTTCTCTGTACCTCAGTTTTCTCTCATGCAAAGCAAGGGTAGTAATAGTACCCAGGTTGTGGTGGGGCAGGAATGGCAAAAAGAAGTCATACAGACCAGGCGTGGTGGCTCATACCTATAATTCCAGTACTATGGGATGCTGAGGCGGGCAGATCACTTGTGGTCAGGAGTTCAAGATCAGCCTGTCCTATGTACTAAAATCTCATCTCTACTAAAAATACAAAAACGAGCCAGGCGCAATGATGCATGCATACAGTCCCTTCTAGATGGGAGGGTGAGGCAGGAGAATCACTTGAACCCCGAAGCAGAGGTTGCAGTGAGATGAGATCATGCCTATACTCCAGCTTGAGCAATAGAGCAAGACTGTCTCAAAAAAACAAAAGGAACTCATACAGAAGGCACACAACAGATGTTTTTACACATTAGCACACATCTGTAAGTGCCAGCATTTTTATTACTAACCCTGTGCCTGTCCCCAGACCTTTCACATCCTGCTAACCATAGCCCATAGTGGTTAGAAGCACGCATTTGGAGAGGAACCCAGGAGTTCACACCCAGCTCCTCCTCCACCTAGAATTCACTGGGTGTCTCTGGGCAACTTGACCTCCTTCATCCTCAGTTCTTTCAATGGCAAAATTAATAACTGCACTAATTAATTAGTGGATGCATCAATTCATTTTTCAATATATCAATGTTTAGATGGAGCTATATTACTACCCATCCTCACAGGGTCTTTAGAAGTAGTGGACAGGATAAAGTCACCACAGTATCTGATTAAAAATAAATGGGCCAGGCACGGTGGTTCAAGCCTATAATCCCAGCACTTTGGGAGGCTAAGGTAGGAGGACTGTTGAGGCTGGGGATTGAAGACCAGTCTAGGTTATACAGTTTAGACCCCGTTTCTACAAAAAGTAAAAAAACTAGCCAGGCATGATGACTTGTGCTTAGAGTTCCGGCTACTCAGAGGCTGAGGTAGGAGGATTGCTTGAGCCCAGGAATTCAAGGTAAGCCGTGATTATGCCACTGCACTCCCCACCTGTCCTGAATATTACTTTCAAATAAAGGTCAGCATTCTACTTGTAACTGGAGCAAAAATTGCTTGTGTATTTACATGTTGATAGTACTGCCAGATCCTGTCTCGAAAAACAAATGAAAACAAACAAAAAAACCTCACACTACCACCAACAACAAAGGGATAATATTTTGGAGAACAACACCAGAAATAGTTAAAGTAACCCTAAGGTTGACATGTCAAACAAAAATGATAAAATATTCAGGAATTCACATAATAACAAATACGTAGGGTACAGAATGCTTGCAGAAATGCAGACATCCTGTGTATATAAAGAGGAAGATCCAAAATCATGTAGAAATGAATTCTCCATAAGTTAAACTGATAACTTTTATACCACCTTAATCGGTTTTTATTGGGGGAATAAATTGAACTGATTTGAAAGATCCTGTGACAAGGAAACAAGAATGACCAGGAGAACTCTCAAAAAGAAGAGATCACAGAACTAGCTCTACCAGACTCGGCACACACTACTATAAAGCCTCAACAGTGAGCAATTATATGCTACTGGTTATAAACAGACAGAGGAACCAAAGGTCCAGAAATAGACCAGAATTTAATTCATAATAAAGGTGGCATCACAGATCATTGGCAAAAAGATGGCAGGTGCAGTTCTAGTTTAGGGGCCACTGGGCACCTACCTGGAAAAAATATTAGATTTGTACCTCATACTGTACCCTAATACAAATTCCGACTGAATTAGAAGTTTAAACAAACTCAGTATTTGCTCAAAATCTATTTTGCTTCTGGAATGCTAGGAAATCGGAGACCAACTTCAGTGGTACTTCTTTTTTTTTTAAGATGTTGTTTCACTCTTGTTGCCCAGGCTGGAGTGCAATGGCACAATCTTGGCTCACTGCAACCTCTACCTCCAGGATTCAAGCAATTCTTCTGCCTCAGCCTCCCAAGTAGCTGGGATTACAGGCATGCACCATCACACCCAGCTAATATTTTTGGTATTTTTAGTAGAAACAGCATTTACCATGTTGGCCAGGCTGGTCTCGAACTCCTGACCTCAGGTGATCCACCCACCTCAGCCTCCCAAATTATTGGGAGTACAGGCATGAGCCACCATACCTGACCCTTCAGTAGCATTTCTGAATTTCCCTGCAGCCTTGATGCCCTGGGCTTAAGCAATCCTTTCACCTTCTTACTTCAGCCTCCAGAGTAGCTGGGACCACAGAAACAAGCTACCATACCTGGCTAGTTTTCAATTTTCTAGAGATAGGAGTCTCATTATGTTGCCCAGGATGGCCTCAAACTCCTGGGTTCGAGCAATCCTCCTGCCTCGGCCTCCCAAAGTACTAAAATGACAGATTACAGAGATGAGCCACCTCACCAGGCCTGAATATTTACTTTCAAATAAAGGTCAGCATTCTAGTTGTAACTGGAGCAAAAACTGCTTTATGTATTTTATATGCTAAAATTCTGTCAACTAATGTATAAAAGCATATTTAATATAACAGTAAAATGTTACAATAATTTGTGACTATGAAAGCTATTAATTTCATGTACATTTATTGAGAACTTGAAAATACTTAAATAGGGAAACAGATTTTCAGTAAATATGAATATTAAGAGAGATACTGGTTAGATAACTAAGAACATATACTTTTTGAGGCAAAAAATGCTTTAAAAGTCCATGGAGGCTGGGTGTGGTGGCTCACACCTGTAATCCCAGCACTGTGGGAGGCCGAGGCAGGTGGATCATCTGAGAGGTAAGGAGTTCAAGACCAGCCTGACCAACATAAAGAAACCCTGTCTCTATAAAAAAATAAATTTTTAAAAGTCCATGGAATGATGTAATCAGGGCATGGTGGCTCATGCTTGTAATTCCAACACCTTGGCAAGCTGAGATGGGAAGACTGTTTGAGTCCAGGAGTTTAAAACTAGCCTGGGCCACATAATGTGACCCAATCTCTTTAAAAAAATTTAAAAGTTGGGTTGGGTGTGGTGGCTCATGGCTATAATCCCAGCACTTTGAGAGGCCCAGGCAGATGAATCACTTGAGGTCAGGAGTTCAAGACCAGCCTGGCCAACAGGGTGAGATCCCATCTCTACTAAAAATACAAACATTAGCCAGGCATGATGGTGCACGCATGTAGTCCCAGCTACTTGGGAGGCCGAGGCAGGAAAATTGCCTGAACCAAGGCAGAGGCTGCAGTGAGCCGAGATCGTGCCACTGCACTCCACCCT